TTCCTCCTTGAGAGAGGCTGGACTCTCTACTACTCTGGAGTTGCCTGCGGTGAGAGGCGGCAGGTTGGTGTGGGCCTGCTTATAGCCCCCCAGCTTAGCCGCCATATGTTGGAGTTTACCCCGGTGAATGAGAGGGTTGTTTCCCTACGCCTTCGGGTCGGGGATAGGTCTCTCACTGTCGTTTGTGCCTATGGACCGAATGGCAGTGCAGAGTAGCCGGCTTTCTTGGTGTGTCTGGGAAGGGTGCTGGAAAATATTCCGAACGGGGACTCCGCTGTTCTACTAGGGGACTTCAATGATCACGCGGGCAGCGACAGTGACACCTGGAGGGACGTGATTGGGAGGAACGGCCCTCCCGATCTAAACCCGGGTAGTGTTCTGTTATTGGATTTCTGTGCTAGTCACAGTTTGTCCATAACAAACACCATGTTCAAGCATAAGGGTGTAACATGAAAACGGACACCCTAGGCCGGAGGTCGATGATCAACTTTGTCGTTGTTTCATCTGACCTCCGGCTGTATGTCTTGAACACTTGGGTGAAGAAAGGGGCAGAGCTGTCAACGGATCACCACCTGGTGGTGAGCTGGATCCGATGGCGAGGGAAGAAGCTGGACAGACTCGGCAGACTCAATGTATTGTGAGGGTCTGTTGGGAACGTTTAGCAGAATCTCCTGTCAGAGGGATCTTCAACTCACACCTCCGGCAGAGCTTTGACCGGATCCCGAGGGAGACTGGAGACATTGAGTCCGAGTGGACCGTGTTCTCTGCCTCCATTGTCGATGCGGCTACTCGGAGCTGTGGCTGTAAGATCTCTGGTGCCTATCGTGGCAGCAATCCCCAAACCCGGTGATGGACACCGGAAGTAAATGATGCCGTCAAGCTGAAGGAGTCCTTTTGAGCCTGGTTGGCTCGTGGGACACCTGAGGCAGTTGACGGGTACCAGCAGGCCAAGCGGACTGCAGCCCAGGTGGTTGTGGAGTGAAAAACTCGGGTCTGGGAAGAGTTCGGTGAGGCCATGGAGAGGGACCATTGGTCAGCCTCGAAGAAATTCTGGCAAACTGTCCGGCGCCTCAGGGGGGGAAAGCAGTGCCCTGCCAAAACTGTTTAAAGTAGAGTTGGGCAGCTGTTGACCTCAACTGGGGACATCGTTGGATGGTGGAAGGAATACTTTGAGGATCTCCTCAACCCCAGCGTCACCACTTCCAATGAGGAAGCAGAGGCCAGGGGCTCAGAGGTGGTCTCGTCCATCACCCAAGCTGAAGTCACTGAGGTAGGCAAGAAGCTTCTCAGTGGCAAGAGACCGGGGATGGATGAGATCCGCCCTGAGTACCTCAAGTCTCTGGATGTTGTAGGGCTGTCTTGGTTGGCACGCCTCTGCAACGTCGCATGGCGATCGGGGACAGTGCCTCTTGACTGGCAGACCGGGGTGGTGGTCCCTCTTTTTAACAAGGGGGACCGGAGGGTGTGTTCCAACTATAGGGGGACTGGAGAGGAGAATTCGACCAATAGTCGAACGTCGGATCCAGTAGGAGGAATGTGGTTTTCGCCCTGGCCGCGAAACACTGGGCCAGCTCTATACCCTCTTCAGGGTGATGGAGGGCTCATGGGAGTTTGCCCAACCAGTCCACATGTGTTTTGTGGATTTGGAGAAGGCATTCAACCGTGTCCCTCATGGTGCCCTGTGGGGGGTGCTCCAGAGTATGGGATCCAGGGCCCTCTATTGAGGGCCGTCCGCTCCCTGTACAACCGGAGCAGGAGCTTGGTTTACATTGCCAGGAGTAAGTCAGACTTGTTTCCAGTGCATGTTAGAGTCCGGCAGGGCTGCCCTTTGTCACTGGTTCTGTTAATTATTTTTATGGACAGAATTTCTAGGTGCAGCCAGGGGCCAGAGGGATTCCGGTTTGGTGACCACAGGATCTCACCTCTGCTTTTTGCAGACAATGTGGTCCTGTTGGCTCCATCAAACCAGGACCTCCAGCATACACTGGGACAGTTTGCAGCAAAGCGTGAAGCGGCTGGGATGAGAATCAGCACCTCCAAGTCCGAGGCCCTGGTTCTCAGTCGGAAAAGGGGGGCTGCCTCAAGTGGAGGAGTTTAAGTATCATGGGGTCTGTTCATGAGTGAGGGAAGGATGGAAGATTGACAGGCAGATCGGTGCAGCTTCTGCAGTAATGCGGTCGATGTACCAGTCCGTTGTGGTGATGAAGGAGCTGAGCTGCAAGGCGATGCTCTCAATTTACCAGTCGATCTACGTTTCGACTCTCGCCTATGGTCATGAGCTTTGGGTCATGACCGAAAGGGCAAGATTCCGGATACAGGCAGCCGAAATGAGCTTTCTCAGCAGGGTGGCCGAGTGCTCCCTTAGAAATAGAGTGAGGAGCTCGGGAGGAGCTCAGAGTAGAACCACTGCTCCTCCACATCGAGAGGAGCCAGCTGAGGTGGCTCGGGCATCTGTTTCGGATGGCTCC